CGAGATGCTTGGGTTCTTGCCACCTGTGTGGAAGCTTGGATAGAGCTCCAGACTCCTGGCTTTAGCCTGGACCAGCTCTGGCCATTCAACCATCTGCAGAATGAAGCTGGCAGATGGAAAAATCTTTCTCTCGCTCTCCTTCTCTTTCTCTCTTGTGCTCTCTTCCTTTCCCTCCATCCCTCCCCCAGCTCCACTTAAAAAAAAAAAACTTAATAAACGAAGGGAAAGATAGACTCCAACATATGACAACAGTAGACTAACATCCCATCTTCATAAATGGACAGTTAAGGCAGAACATCAGTAAACCAACATAATTACACTCTTGATTCACTAGGCAAATCAAGTATTTACAGATTGCTCTGTTCAACACCTGAAAACTGTTGCATTCTTTTCAACAGTACAAGGAATATTCACCACAACAGGACATAGAGCAAGTTACAAAGCAATTCTTAACACATTCTACAAACAAGAAATTATATTGAGTATTGATCTCTTACCATAATGAAATGAAACTAAAGTCAAATCAGTAATAAAAACCTTTACAAACTACATAAACAAAATGAAGTTTAAAAAATGACTTACTACTGAACAATGATTCAGAGCAAAAAATTAAAAGGAAATAAAAAATATCCTAAAATGAACCAACAAGGAAACATAAAATATCAAAACTCATTAGATATAGTCCAAGCAATACCAATGGGAAAGTTTAGAGCAATTACTGGTTGCATAAAATGTGGAGAAGAATCCCAAGTTAACAATAAATTACTGCACCTCAAGGAACTAGAAAAATCAGAGCAAATCAAACACAACATTAGTATCTGGCCAGAAACAACAAAAACTATAGCACAAATAAATGGAGACTAGAGCAACTTTATCCAGCTTTCACGAAAAATAAAGCTGGTTCTTCAGAAAGATAAAATCGACAAAACCTTAGTTAGACTAAGAAAAAAAGTAAGATTAAAAAATCAGAGATGAAGAGGGGAAACATCACAACTGATAATACAGACATACAAAGGAAGAAATCTCATCATGGTTGAACCATGAAGAAGTTAATCCCCACTGAAATGAATAATTAGTAAAATGTATCTCATAATAAACTTTCCCACCAAAGAACAGCCTACAGCCAGCTGACTTTATAGATGAAGATTTAAAAAATTATTTTATTTTTATTTAAAAGGCAGAGTTACAGAGAGAAAGAGCAAGAGAGTGAGAGAGAGAGAGATAATCTTCAATCCATTGGTCCACTCCCCAAACAACTGCAATGGTTGTAGCTGAGCTTATCTGAAGCCAGCAGGGCCCATAGAATTGCATTTGAAGAAAATGAACAACACCTAACCAAGTATGATGACTGAAATTTAAAAAATTAAGAAATGTAGCAAATTCCAAATAGTATAAGCTCAAAGTAAATTCTACCTAGATACATTATATCAAACTATTGAAAACCAAATGTAAAGAATGTATCTGAAAAGAGAAGAAAGGATACATTATAATAAGAGAATCTGTGATTCAAATGATTGGCAAATTTCCAGTAAAGGTCAGAAGTCACTGGCAGAATGTATTTAAAATGCTCCCAAGAACTATAAAGCAAATTAGCACCTGTACAGTATTAGAAATGATCTACTGTGGCTTTCTGCGGTGTTTGCACTGGCATCTTATCCACCACACAGCCAGGCTTCTGACTGCATTAACTGCTTTTAGATAAGCCTCCATGACTGGAATGTTTCATTCGAAAGGCAAAGTTACACAGAAATAGGGCGAGATAGATGTCTTGCAACCACTGGTTTACTTCCTGCATGGCTGAAATGACCAGGGTCCTGGAACTCCATCAGGGTCTCCCATGTGGATGACAGGGGACCTAGCACTAGGGCCTTTCCTGGGTGTTTTCTCGGGCACATTAGCAGAGAGCCAGGTCAGGAGTGGAGCAGCTGGGACTCAAACTTGCATTATATGGAATGCCAGAATTGTAGGCAGCACCTTAACCTGCAGCACCACTAGTGTTGGTCCCAAATTTCCTAATTTACACTCCTTTTTTTCTCATTAGAGCTGAATATCTACTGTTCACTAAATATTTTAATTGTTTACTTGATTTTCTCATTTCACTAGTTCTTCCTTAAATCGTTTCCTCTTAACTATATTTGACTACTCTCCATATATTTGTTTTTTAAAAATTTATTTTTACTTGGGTCCGGCAGCGTGGCCTAGCAGCTAAAGTCCTCGCCTTGAACGCACCAGGATCCCATATGGGCACTGGTTCTAATCCCAGCAGCTCCACTTCCCATCCAGCTCCCTGATTGTGGCCTGGGAAAGCAGTCCAGGATGGCCCAAAGCCTTGGGACCCTGCACCCATGTGGGATATCCAGAGGAAGTTTCTGGATCCTGGCTTCAGATCAGCACAGCATCGGCCGGCCGTTGCGCTCACTTGGGGAAAGAATCATCAGACAAAAGATCTTCCTCTCTGTCTTTCCTCTCTGTATATCTGACTTTCCAATAAACTTAAAAAAAAAAAAGATTCTGCCTTTCAAACAAAAATAAATCTTAAAAAAAAATTTATTTTTACTTGAAAGTCTGAGTTACGCAAGAGATAGATAGATCTTCCATCTGTTGGTTCACTCCCAAAATGGCCCCTGCCACAGCTGAGCCAGTCCAAAGTCAGAATCATAGGTTTTTTTTTATGCAGGTGCAGGGTCCCAAAACTTTGGGCCATCCTCCACTGCCCTCCCAGGCTGCAAGCAGGCAGCTGCATTGGAACTGGAGCAGTCAGGACCAGAACTGGTGCCCACACGGGATGCCAGCTCCACAGGCTGGTTTGCTACAGCACTGCACCTGCCCCCTACTTTAAAAATTTTGATTCAACTATTTTTTTTTTTCTCAATGGGAACATTAGATGGTTCAAGCTACTCTAATATTCTTAGATACCACAAAAACTTACCTGAAACTTAAAAAGAATAAGTGGATCTACAGACCACACACACACACACAATACCATGTTATTTTGACCCAAAAATGTCTCTGAATACAACCTACCCAAATAAGTGTCTTGAGAAAAGATGGAAATGGGTAGTGTTTTCAGACAATGGACTAGCTTTCTTGATTAAAGGAAACTTTTAAAACAGTACTGTGTGTAATAGAAAGGCAAACTTTTAAAAGAGTAATGTTAATGAGAAACATGCATTAGGAAAAAGTGCAGATTTCAACTATTTCTGTACCAAAACAAATCCATCTTTCAACAAACATGCTTAGATTTCCTGTATTATTCTAGTAGGTGACATTTCAATCACCATTCGTTTCTGTAAATCTTGATCCTTTTCTCTGGGACAGCTCGAGGAGGAAATGCATTCTGCAGGGTTGGGTGTGGGTGAGAACGGGAACTAGGGGTCTGAAATGCTCTGGATGAATCAGCTGGGACACGTGGAGCAGGAAGCGGGGGCAGCAGCCTGAGTATTCCGCTTCCACAGGCTGGGGTAACAAGAGTACAGATGTTTGTTTTGTTGTCTGCCAAGGACCAGTCTGCTAACCAAGATCTACTTTTTGAAGACGTTTGTAAGGACTAGCGTGTTCAACTTGCCAGAATAGAAAATAAACTGAAAATCTCATATTTTTAAAACTCTTTGTTTAGTTATACATATATTTTTGGAAGGCAGAGTTATAGACATAAAGAGAAGAGCAGAAAGAAGGGAGGAGAGGAGGGAAGTGAATGCCTGCAACAGCCAAGGATGGGACAGAACAAAGCCAGGACATCCAACTCCACCTGAGTTTCCCAAGTAAGTGTGTGGCAAGTATCGGAGCCATCACCTGATGCCTTCCAGGATGTGGATTAGCAGGAAGCTAGAACCAAACTGGAATCTGGACTCAAATCAGGGCTGAGTGTGTGCCACCAATCAAGAAATCATAATTGAATTTATCAGAACACCACAGATAAGAATCAATTAGATGTACAGTTTCATTAGCTTCCCTTTCAAAGACTTTTTAATTGAAAAGGCAGAGTTACAGAGAAGAGGGAGAGGGATCGTCCATCTGCTGCCTCACTTCCCAAATGAAGCCAGGGCCAGGGTTGTGCTGTGCTGGAGTCAGGAGCCACGAGCATTCTCTAGTCTCCTCTATGGATGCAGGGACCCAAGGTCTTGGGCCATCCACCACAGCCTTCCTAGTCTATAAGCAGGGAGCTAGATCAGAAGTGAAGCAGGTGGGAGACAAACCGGCACCCATATGGGACGACAGTGCCACATGCAGAGGATTAAACAGCTGCACCCCCGCGCAGCCTATACATAAGTCCTTTTTATAAAAAAGTATTTTATTTATTTGAAAGGCAGAATTATAGGGAGGGAGGAAAGGAGAAAGGAAGAGAGAAGAAGAGAGAGACGGGACTTAAACCAGCATCCGTAAGGAGCGTGTGCACCAAGGATGGTGGTTTAACTAATCATGCCAGAATGCAGGTCCCCTATAAGCCTCTTGATGAAAAAAAAAATCTAACAAAAAGATAAAGCTTTTGATTACTTTCCTCTGAAGTTCCTTACAGAGAAAGAAAGCCTGATCCTGTAACACTATGCCTATTTGTATCATTTAGCGTCCACTATTACTTAAACATGTCAAATGGTGGCATTTTCCTTACTATTCTTTCATGTACTTAAAATCTATAGTTTCCCGCCCAATCAGGTCAAAAATATTTGTAAATTGAAAAAATTCCTTATATGAAGCTCCTTTAAAACATTCATGGAAAATATTTCCATCCAGCTGCCCTTGAACTTTTGGAAGTACCTTTATATATATATTTACCTTTATACATCTTTACAGTGTTGTAATAAGAAAAGTTTGATTATGACAGGAGAGGTCTGGAATGTGCGGTAATAATATGGGAAGATAGGTGTTACGAGGGTTACAGCCGTATGGAACATCTCATTAAGCAAAATTTTATACATCGTAAAGAGAATGGCCACCAAAATGTTAATGGTGGTTACTTTAGGGCGTTGACTGTAGGAGACCAATATTTTAGTTATTATGTTGAATTATGTAACTCTAAAGAAGCAATACAGTTATTTACAGTTTGAAAGAAGACTTTTTTTGACTTTTTTCCTTAAGACTAAAGCAGATGTCCAATTTTTCGCATCTTTCTTAGATGTCAGAAGCAATGTCGTAAGTGAGAGTATAATGGCCTAGGCTTTAGAAAATCAACCATAAAAATTATGGATTATGGAATATTTTGTCAGAAAGGTCTGATATAAGGCTTAAAGCTAGACTTAAACATTATACTTAAAAACCAGGCAATTGAATATTTGGTATTTAATCTCACTCAAATGTTTTACTCATCTCCTGTTGGTCAGAACCTGGAAAAGAGTGAATATAAGATGATGGTAATCATGTGTGGGTAGATCCAAGAGGAAAGCATGACGCAGATTTTGTGACAATATTTCGCATTTTGTGCCAAATTCCCACAAGGATATTTTCTGCTCGGATGAAGGAAGCAGGACTTGGGTACATCTTAGCTTTCACGGAAGGGGAGTTCCAGCAGGAACTGTGGAACTGTGGAACAGAAGCTGTGTCTGACATGAACATAAAGCAAACGCAGACACCCCTCTCCCTTCAGTCCGAGTTGAAAGCCTTCGGGGATACACATTTTGGATTGTGAGACAAGTCAAAAAAGATTGAACTTCAAGCTAGATGATGTTTAGTTGTATTGTGAAATGCGAATGTATGAATAAGAAAGAATAATCACGATTGTTTTTGATGTGCTCATACTTGGTGAAGTCATCCTTGAGAGCGTATAATCAACACTCGTAACCTCCAGCTATTTGTCTCCTTTTGCTGTTCGTAACACTTGCTCAAGGTTTCAGCTCAGGCACACTGCAACTCTAGGAACGGACCCAGGCCACAGCTACCATGATCAAGGAAGCATGCTACAGAATCGCTTCAGGATTTCAGGCCAATAGTAACCTTGTTTTGAATCTGGGAGAAAACAAATCACTCAATTTGAGGACTAATTTAGTTATAAGACATAGATCAAATGGTGGAAAAAAGAAAAGAAAACAAAACAAAAACCCCCAAAACAAAGCACACACACCAATAGCTGCATTTAACAAGTTTCTTCAACAGAGACACAGAAGTGCTACCCGTCATCGTCACTGCTGCTCCACGCATCTTCAAACGCTGGATGTAACTGTGTCTTGGCTGCAGTCTGAAAAACAAAAAATGAGATGTTAATATTCACTTCTTTATTTTAAGGCTTACAGCTATTAGAGGAACGATGAGATTACTTTGGAAAAAAACTACATGATCACACCACAAATTCAATATAATGCAATTTTATATTAAATAGGCATATCAGACTTCAAAGTAGTTATTGCATGAATATACATATACGCGAGCAGTCTTCAAGTTCATGGGAAAGGCTTTTTATCAAAAAACTGTATGTGGATTTCAAAATTACCTGCAAATTTCCCCATTTTCGGTGAACTTTCTGAAATTTATCTGTTCATTTCAGAGAGGGTGCTCCCATCACTTACTCAACTCTCCAAATGAATTCACTAGCGAGGGCTGAGACAGGGGAGGCCTGAGCTGGGTGGGCAATCCAGCAGGGTTGCAGCTTCAAGCACCCTAAGTTGCTGTTTCACTGAATGCCCACTAGGGGCATCAGGGAGAGCTAGCGTTTGAACCCAGGCATCCCAACCAGAGGAGTCATTCTCCATGTAGGTCAATTGCCTACCCAGCCGTCACTTTGTGACACATCCTCTTGCATACACTATGATGCCACTGCCATTGCTCAAGGTATTTCTGCAACTCTTTGGAAATGCCTTGAGAAGTGGCACATTCAAACTCGGATTAAGACTGGACTTCATGCCGTCAGTTGGATTTGATAGTCCAATATGTTGATGCTGGCAACTTTGCATTGTTTGGAAGGTTCTGACTTTCACAATACACACGCAAGAAATAGTGTTCACTAAGCTGAGCAATGTCAGGTCAAAAGTAATGTGAGGTATTAAGTGGTAAAGGCGCTGTATTTTATATGGTTGGTAAAGTAGCCCCAAAACACGTGCAAAACGAGAGAAATGAAATCACATTTGTGACCGGCACATGGATTCTGCAGAGAGGCACCGCAGGGGTGTGCATATCGAAGGTGATGCTTCAAACAACCAAACAGCAGAACAATTCTGCAGCTTTAGAGCCATGCCGAACAAGGGGAGCCAGAGAAAATGCGGTATCTGATGTTACTCTGTGACAAGTGAGCAAAAAGGCTCTTAGGACGGTCCCGTTCCTGAAGTACCCAGGCATTATGAATGAGATCTGCTTCTCCCTCTGCAGTTTTCACAGTGGCTCCATATTTATTTAGATCTAAAATCCAAAAATGTACTTGCTTCAAACTACTCTTAAATTATCTTAAAAAACATTGCTTTCTCACAACTAGTGGAAATTCTGTCTTAAAGGCAATCCCTAGTGCACGTCCTTTTTGCTGAACATGGTGACTCAGAATCTTCCAATTCAAAGTATAAAAACAGCAACCCAAGAATCAGCAAGGATATGGGAAAACAATACTTTAACTTAGGCATTTTTTTCATGGTTGTTATCTAGATCAGAGCACATTACTAAATCTAATGCCAGTTATTACTGCCTGGATGTACAACAAAAATTCTAACACACCCCAAATATCCAGATGAAAAACCATTTCCAAACCTCATGTAACTTACCACTAATTTTTAACATTTCATTATTTGCAAGAGCTCTGCAAATATGCTTATTTTTTTGAAGATTTATTTTTTTATTGCAAAGTCAGATATAAAAAGAGGAGGAGAGACATAGAGGAAGATCTTCAGTCCAATGATTTACTTCCAAAGTGACTGCAACAGTTGGAGCTGCGCCGATTCGAAGCCAGGAGCCTCATTGGGGCCTCCCACGTGGGTGCAGGGTCTCAAGGCTTTTGGGCCGTCCTCGACTGCTTTCCTGGGCCACATGCAGGGAGCTGAATGGGAAGCAGAGCTGCCAGGACTAGAACTGGCGCCAATATGGGATCCTGGCATGTTCAAGGTGAGGACCTTAGCCACTAGGCTACTGTGCTGGGTATCCAAGTATGCTCATTCTTTTACCTAAAAGTTTACTGAGTTTTCTGGATTTTAGAGCTTTTAATTTACTAAATTGAGTTATCCAAAGACATAATTGCCTGTGGATTAGGCGATCCTTATTCCTTACTCTGTTTTAAGATACCTTCTGCTTTTTCTGGTCATTTGTTAGTAAAGATGAAAGCATTCCTTTAAAAATATTTTTATTTTTAATTTGAAAGGCAGAAAGACACAGATTGAAAGAGTCCACTGCTAACTTACTCCTGGGATGCTCACCACACTGGGCCTGGGCCATGCCGGTCAAAGTCAGGACCCAGGAGCCAGGTGTCCTTTGTGTGTGTCAAGAATTCAAGTACCTGAACCACTGTCTGTTGCTTCCTAGGGTATGAACTGCCAGGAAAGCTGGATGGGAAGTGGGAGAGCAGAGATCCAGCCACGTGCTCGGGTGTGGGATGTTAGTGTCCTAAGCAGTGGCTGAACTGCTCTCAAAAGGACCTTTTAAATAGGAGTTGAACTGTGAACATACATTTATGGAACACAGACTAATGGGATCTTCATCATGACCATGTTCATGTCCTATCTACATCCACATGAGTCTTTCAAATTAAAATTTTATGGACACAGTACACGGCATGTTAAATTGAGACCGACTAGTATTCTCTTAAAAGTTGAGGGCCATGAGCACTGTATTTAAATCATATTTAGTTATTTACATTTTTTATTTAAAGGACAGAGACAGAAAGGTTTTCCATCCTCTGATTCACTCCCTAAGTGCTCCCAAGCATTCCAAGCTGGGGCTTGCCTGAAGTCAGGACCCTGAGCTCAGCCCCTCAGTGAGCGGGGACCCTAGCTCTTGGGCCACTACCTGCTGCCTCCCAGGGCATGCAGTAGAAAAGAGCTCAAACGCAAGTTGAGAAGCTGGGAATTCACCCCAAACAGGAACCTAACTACATGCAATAAATGCCCACTTCTCAAGAGCACATGTTAAATAAGAATCTATAACTCTAAAATTAAATATAAAACTAAATTTCTGTGTATATTTGCAATTTGATTTCTACTACTTGTTAATTTTTTCACAAACAAAAGTTCTTTTACATGAGTTTAGTCTATATAACAAGGAAATATACTATTAGAGTCTTATGCTCTGGGCACCTCTCTGATGGGCTGCAACTACCACTGGTGAGCATGAGAACCAGGACGCCTGGCTGGACAGGTGCTGGCACCCACTGGATGAGCGTGGGCTGGAGGGTAGTCAGGTTAACTTAGGCTTCAACGCCCAATGATACATACAAGATCTGAATGGGATGTGGGACAGACTGGATCAGTACACTGCACATGCTGGCAGGTGCAGGAACCAGAGCTGTGGGCTGTGCTGTGGGCTGTGCTGTGGGGAATATTGTGGGTCGGGCTGACTGGGCTGCAGCTCCCCCTGTTGTACAAGAGGGCCAACTATGTCGTGGGCAGGGTTGGGCTGGGCTGCAGCACCTATTGGTTTGCAGAGGAAGGAGGGCAGAACAAATTGATCAACTACCCCAGTGGAGCTTGGCAGCAAATTTCTAGGTAAATGGAGTTGAGGTGGACTATGTCAGCCAATTGACCTTGGAAGGATAGCCTCATCCTTGGAGTGGCACTATCAACAGCATCTTAGAGCTATCAAAACCACTTGAGCAGAACCCTCAGAACATGCTCCACGGTGGGGACCCTGGGATGACGGTGGGTACTGAGGCTGTTGGAAGGCTGGGTGTGGTCTCTCCCAGTGTATCCCCTCTGCCCAGATATAGAAAGAAGAAAAAGTAAATGTGTAAACAATGGACTAGCCCATTTTCCCCTCACCCTGACCAACTATGTAAACATCAAAAACAAACAAACAAAACAAACTCACCTCATCATCGTCCGGAACTGGTTCCCAAGAAGATGGCACCCAAGCCAGGATATTGCAGTCTCTGCTGCCACTATACAGTTCCTGTAAAACATAGAGCAAAGATGCGATTCCTAATTTAAGGCATAAAGCAACTACAGCAATGTCTTAAATGATTAATACTTATGGTAGGTCAATAAGAGTAATTCAATTCCTACTCTATGGCAACTTGGCTGATGTATATTTTTTTATGATAAAACTATATTTCATATTTGAAAACAAGATAAGCTAGAGGTTATTAATCATGTAAAAACTTTATAAAACACTCAACTTATTAGTGATTTTATTGATTCATAGTATCCATATCATTCAGGTGTTAGAGAAAAGAAAAAAGGACAGACTTTCTCCTTCTTTTAATAACTGAATATTTGATTTAATTGAAGAAACAATATGAATTTTTATTAAGACTGGCTGAAAGTCCACAAGTTTTATCTAGCTTACAGCTCCTTCTTTGGTTGCTATAGGACAGGTTAAAGCTGCCTTTTCTGTGCCTGGGGATGTGTGATAAGATTACGCCTGGGTTGTACAGTATCTGTCATTGTCTTTAGGGATACGCTGTTTGCTTAGGGCTGAATGATACATTCTGCTTTCTCCAACAAAACCAAGGAAAATGAGTTAAATTACCTAGATACTAATACATCTCTATTCAGGGGTTGAACAGTGGTGGTATATATCTTTTATTTTAAATAATTTTTAAAAGATTTATTTATTTTTATTGGCAAATCAGATTTAACAGAGAGACAGAGGAAGATCTTCTGTCCACTGATTCACTCCCCAAGTGATCGCAGACGTCTGGAGCTGAGCTGATCTGAAGCCAGGAGTTAGGAGCCTTTTCCAGGTTCTTCAAGTGAATGCAGGGATCCAAGCACTTGGGCCATCTTCTGCTACTTTCCCACGCACATCAGCAGGGAGTTGGATGGGAAGCAGAGCAACCAAGAAGCTGTGCTGGCACTGCAGACATCAAACGTGCTACAATTGAGTGCCAGCCCCTGCCTAAGTGACTTTTTGCCCTTACAAACATCTTTCTGTATTTCTGCAATAAGCTTTCACCCTTGTTCTAGGACACAATTAAGTGTTCTAATTGTTCATCTCAAAAACAATTTGAGGCATTGGAACATTTATTCTTTTATACAAATAAGGGTTGAGGATAAGGAAAAGATATGAAGTTCTTCACAGAGTTCAGATGTAAAAAGATAAAAAAAAAACTAGATATGTATTGTGAAATTTCTAAATCACATCAAAAATGTATAGTTGGAAACAGAAAAGGAAATGGTTCTCTAATGAATTATGAAAAGCAATCTAAAATCTTAGGAGACTGATGTTTTTACTGCAAAATTCTAACTAGGAAGTTATTATTTGAGAGAAATAACACAGAGGAAATGATGGCCACCTCCTCATTGAATAACAATGGTTTTGTACACCAAGACTGATAAAAAAATTAGGTCTCTGGCTGTCCCAACCGTTAAAGAAGCATAAAGGATCATTAGCCTGGCACACTCTCAGTTTATTCTAATTGTTATGAAGCTCCAAAATGGTAGAAAGCAGTAATTTACTGCCAGAATATTTGGGTTATTAACGACTGGTATTGTACAGGGGTGTACTGAAAAATCAGGTCATTGTCTTATAGCACAAGGTCAGGTACAAAACTCGGCAAATTTCACTGGATGATAAAGGTCTCTAAGCTCTGACAATCCAGTTTTCATGCTATCAGTAATCTTATCATGAATGTCACTGCCCTTAGCAGTACAAAAGGGGAAGTGTCAATTACCTTGCCATAGTGGATTCTTTGAAAGGAGCATATAAGGTAATTTGTGTAAATAATCTCTGAAAAAAAAAATCTGCTATGTTTTTTTATAATTTTTTTTTACCCAGAAAATTGTTTGCAAGACAATGTGTAACTCATCAGATTTTAACTGCTAAACAAATGGAGCCCATATTTAACAGAATTTATCTTAATCAAGGTGCACTGTAATACGGTGATTCACACACACACCCTATTACTTTATAGTCCTGGCTGTATTACTCTTCCCTAAATAAACTCTAGTTAAAATGTGCATTAAATGTACAACTCAGAATGAAATCACTATCTACTCTTACAGTTATTCCACTAAGTTAATTACCTCAATGTTTCAAGCTCCCTTAAGTATCATTCTTACCTGGAAATTAGACTGAAATACACAGCAGTCAACGTTTTTATAATGTCCCTTAAGCATAGTTATCTGTTCTCCTGAGTAAATCGCATAAACAGCAATAGTGCTACCATATGGTACAAAAACAAATTCTGAGCTGCAGCCACAGGAGACAGAGAATTTCAATCCTTTTCTGCTGTCATTACAAACTTTTCCATAGTTCACCTGTAAGATAAAAATCATGAAATTATTCTTAACTAGATATGAATGAAACAGCCAACAAAGACTGAGAGAAATATTTCAAATATTATAATACTCTATGGAAAAGACTTAAATTTGAAGAAAAATTCCAGTGTCCTAACAGAAAAAACAATTGGCTACATCTCGCTTATCTTGCATTCACAGCAACCACATGGGCATTGCACGCTTGTGCCAAACAGAATTAAAGAGAAAGTTTATTTTGGTATGGAAAAATTTTGAAGTCCATGTCGTTAAAAAGTTCATAAGAAATGTATACTACGAAAAAACTACGCATAGGTTTCAAAATTGTTTTGCACCAAAATAAACTTATTTTTTAAGTATGTCCATACAAATAGTTAAAAAAATTAAAATTTCCAGATTTGAACCTTGGTATAAAGATGCAGATTAAGGTAACTATGAAGGATCATTTTAGATCATTTAGCAAACAGCTCAAAAAACATAAGGAACTTAATGCTGGTACAGGTGAACTAACTACGTTGGGGCAACTCTAATTCGGTTATTCCTTTGAAAAGGCCAAGTGGCATATTATTTAACAAAACATAAGGATACCTCTTTTCACGGGGGAAGAATATATAGGTTTCTATTCCTTCCATTAAAAATAATTTTGATTGTGAAACACACATAACAGAAAATTTCTTGCCTTTCAACCATAAGGATGTGGTCTTCACAAAGTTTATGAAAATATACACTAGTAAAAAAAGTTTGTAGTCAAAAAAAATCTTATCTTTCAATTATATCTTTCCACAAACTTCTTGAATTATCCTTATACATTACACTGTTATAAAACCATTACCACCACAAACACTAAAACTCTTTTCTTACAAAAGTATACTCATTAAGGTACGAAGATATTCTCACCCTGTAACTTAGTAATTACTCCTGGGATTATGCCTTAAGAAAACAATTAAACAGCAAGATGCTGTAAGCCCAGAGGATTTCAATGCAGCATTATCTGGTATGGCACAATAACTGGGAACAGACATATATTCCTAGTAATGTTCTATTAATTCTACGGTTTATAAGAACCCCTTCCATGAAATAACATGAAGTTTAAGTACAGAAAAAGCACCGTGAACAAGTAGTATATAAAATGTAATTTCAGTTTTACATAAATAACCCTCTACCTGGAACAACAATACAGCCCTGCACTGCACTCCCAGGGTGCGGCCGGCAGACCCAGCGGCGCAGGCCCATCCAGCACTGGACACTGAGGCCTTCCAGACCCGCCCAACACGTCTGAAATCTTCATCTGAACAAGATCCCTAGTTTATCTGTATGTTCATCAAACTCTAAGAAGCTCTGGGCTAAATAGACAAGCAGGTTTACTTTCTGCTGGTAATACTGATAAGAAGCTTGGGGTGGTGGGGTATAAAACTAAAAGCTAATCATTCGGAAATGTATCCTAAAATCTCCCTTCCTTGTAGCTAATGTTAGAGTGTAAACAGTGATTACCTTTTTTCTCTCTTACAGGGGTTGGTTGGGAGTGTGATGCGGATACACTGAGGCCCAGCTGGCACTTGGCTTACCCATCCTACCAGCACATCTGCTTAGCCACCTCAAGCAGCAGTGGCACAGAAGGTTAAGAAGGTATAGAAGGCATTCAGAAAACTTGTTTTTTGTTTTTTCTCCCTCGGCCTCCCACCCCACTCCGCGCGCCTGCGCACAGCTCCGGACTGCGCGCAGAGCTCCGAACCAAAACTTGCGTCTTGAATTCTGCCTTTGTGGAGGGGCTCCGCAGAAGCAATGATTTAATTTCTCAGTTGCATTTTTCCAATCTGTTGAGTGCAGCTACATATCATTTACCAGAAAGTTGTGAAAATGGAAATGAAATCATGTATGTGAGAGCATCTGTAACATTATTATAGGCAGCAAATTTTTAATTTGTTAATTCTTATACAAGTTTAAAAGTCTAGCATTTCCACATTTGCATCTTTTGAACCTATATACTAGTGGTGGTGAAAGTGGGAGGTGCAGGTGGATAAAATACACAAAAATCTTCTATTAATAATTATACATAACCCCTGTGAAAATTATGAACTGCCAGACTGTGAGAGCTTCATTAACAGCTGCTGATCGCAACACTTAGTGTCTTCGCACTGCACCACATTCCTTCCCAAATACGAACTGGAAAGCTTCCAGTGAGGTAAGAATGTTAGTTCACTAGCCTCTTTTCTATTTGTTTTTAAAAGAAATTATTTGAGAGGCAAGGAGAGAAGAACAGGGAAGAGAGAGCTCACGTTTGCTGCTTCACTCCCCAAGTCCCCACAAGAGCCAGGGACTCCTGAAGAGCTGGGACTCGAACCCAGGCTCTGACCCGGGAGCAGCGCTTTAACTGCTGAGTGCAGTGCCACCTGCAGCTCACTAACTTTGGTCTTGGCCTTAGATTTTCCTCCTCCAGTTCTAGCCAGAACTCTTCATCACAGTCATCTTTGTAAGTCACTGGGCTGAGCAAATCATGAAGCGGGTGCAAAAATTAAGCCTCTCAATGCGCAAGGAAGGAGTTGAAGCAACAGCTTATGCAGGGAAGAGCTGCTGTTCATTAAGTGCCTACCTTGTGTCTCGCTTGGAAAGGTGATGATTCTCTAAGCTGCCTATTTTATAAATATAAATGCTTACCATAAAACCCAGTGTGGGAGGGCCAAGCGCAATAGCCTAGTAGCTAAAGTCCTCATCTTCCATGCACTGCACTGGGATCCCATACAGGCACTGGTTTGTGTCCTGGTTGCTCCACTTCCCATCCAGCCCTCTGCCTGTGGCCTGGGAGAGCAGTGGAGGATGGCACAAAGCCTTGGGACCCTGCACCTGTGTGAGAGATTTGGAAGAAGCTCCTGGCTCCTGGCTTTGGATTTGCTCAGCTCCGGCCATTGTGACCACTTGGGGAGTGAATCCGTGGATGGAAGATCTTTCTCTCTATCTTTCCTTTTCTCTGGAAATCTGCCTTTCCAATTAAAAAAAAAAAAGAAAGAAAAAAAAGAAAAGCAGTGTGCGCTACATGGCATGTTATAAATCATTATGAAAGTATTAAGGCAGAACAGGCTACTACTGGCAATAGTGTCTTTCCCTTTTAAAGAGCAATTTATCTATTCAAAATGCAAAAATGCAGAGAGAGGGAATGGCAAAGAGATGTCCTATTCCGCATCTTCCATCCCACGCGGCCACAATGTCCAGGGTTGGACCAGGCCAATGATGAGCGAGGAGCTTCACCTGGGTCACTAAGTGGACTGCAGGGTCATCTTCCATTGCTTTCTCATGCACATTGGCAGGGAGCTATTCAGAGAAACAGAGCAGCCAGGCTGCAAACCAGCACTCATATGGATGCAGAATATGGTACAGGTGGTTCAACTCACTGGCCCCATAGCACAGCTTGTGGACAATAATATCGTAAAGGTGGTATTTAAACATATATATTTATTTTTATTTGAAAGGCAGATTTTATAGAAACAGAAGGAGATTTTGAGAGAGAAGGTCTTCTATCCACAGGTTCACTCTCCAAATGGCTGCAAGACCACAGCTGAACCTATCTGAAGCCACGAGCCAGGGGCTCCTTCCTGGTCTCCCAGTGGGTGCAGGGTCCCAAGGCTTTGGGCCGTCCTCCAGTGTTTTCCCAGGCCACAAGCAGAGAGCTGGATGGGAAGTGGGGCTGTTGGGATTAGAACTAACACCCGTATGGGATCCCAGTGTGTGCAAGGCAAGGACTTAGCTGCTAGCCTACTGCACCGGGGCCCTGAAAGAGAATTATTAACCATGTTTTTTGTTAATAAGCATGTTTCTCTTCCTCTCTGTATATTTGACTTTGCAATAATAAAGAAATAAATCTTTCCCCCAAAATTTAAAAATAAGCTTATAGTAGCTTTACTAAATACCTGAGAAAACTGACTTTCTAAAGAGAAACGGGGGTTTATTTGCCTCATGATTTTGGGGATTCAGTCCAAGACTGGCTGTGCACTACCGGGTCTGTTATCTGGAAGACTGTATGCCAGAAGAACAATAGCATAAACTGAGCTATGAGGCACACAGAGCGATGGGGCTGGACTCAGCCTTTATAACCATCTGCTTGGAGTTCCTTTTCCCAAGAGTACCCCTCAGTGATGTAAGGACCTCTTTCTAGGCTGGATGACTTTGGGTTTATCCAATTGCCTTGCTCCTTTCAAACAGTAGTATACTAATAACAATACCTACACAAATGCTTCAAGGGGTGTGAGTATAGTCAGGATTATAGTAAGAGTGAAATCTCGACTCAAACTCTCAGCTTTCCAGCTGCAGGTAAGGGGCCTGTGCCATATCACAGCCAGCTAAGCCTCTACCTGTGCAACGAGCACGCTACCCTGGCTCTGGTTCCAGTCCTAGAGGCTCCACTTCTGATCCAGCTCCCTGTTAACGGCCTGAGAAAACACAAGAGGATGGTTCAAGTCCTTGAGCCCCGGCACCCATACGGAGACACAGAAGAAGCTCCCTGCCCGACTGCAGACTGGCCCAGCTCTGGCTATTGCGGTCATTTGGAAAGCGAACCAGACGATGGAAGATCTCTTTCTCTCCGTAACTTCTCCTTTCAAATAAAAATAAATAGATCTTTAGAATAAATAAAATCAGGCAAGTCACCTAATAGTTTTCTCTTCCTCATATGTAAAATACATATAACACTAATTATCACTACAGCATTGGTGGTGATGTTTAAATGACATTATATGCTCCAATATGCATGTTAAAAACTGATTATGTATTAGCACAGTATTTGGCAATATGCTTTAACTATTATCATCACCAAACGACAAGCTTTTTGAAGTTTATTTTCTAAGGTACTGAACCAACAAAACACAAAGCAAGGACTAAAACATACACAAAAATAGCACTAGAAGAGTCCACCAAGATCCCAGAACCTTTAAAGCACATTTATTTCAGTATTTAATATTTAATTTTAATTTTAATCTATATTGGTGGTCCTAAGTCTTTCAGGAAACAGCTGTGATCACACACTAAGTGTAGGGGTGTGGGTGGGAGTGGAGGGCATGCAATTTGTAGAGCATGGCGTGGGAAAATAAAAATATGCATTTTAAAAGTTGTAAGTCCAAAGAAGTACAGTAAAGGCAGACTAATAAAGTGCATGTCAACGATTCATTTCCTTACTTCATGTACCAAAAGGTACTAAAAAGCTTCTTACCAGTGTGTTTTCTCCATTGGAACTATTCCACAGCCTCATTCGATTATCTGTTCCAACAGTGAGGAGGTGGAGTCCATCGTTTGTAAAACATAAGCCGTTAACTTTCCCATTATGAGCAGTGTTTGCTGTGAAGGAATATACACATTAAGAATAACTACCCGAGTTACTTAAAATATACTGATTACATCTGAAGTTAGCCAACCGTTCACATTATCCTAATATTAAAAGCAACATGAATTAGAATTAAAAAATGGGAAAACAAGGAAACCAAAGGGGAAAATATTCTGATACACACACAGACACAGTGGTGAGCAAGCTGTGCTGTCAGGTTAAATTCAGTGCGTAGCTCAACATAAAACTAAACATCTTTCCTTTTTCTTATGTTGCCATTTTCTTAAAAAAATCTATTTTACAGAGAGAAGGAGAATCAGAGACAGCGAGATCCAAACGCCTGGAGCTTCTTTCTTGGCTGGCCACGTGCTCTTTCTCCAGGTCATAAGCAGGAAACTAGGAAGTGGAGCAGCTGGGACACAAATCAGTACGCATATGGTATGCTGGTGCCACAGGAGGAGGATTAGCCCGCTACACTACTGATCCAATGCTAACATTCTGACTTCTAAACTAAAAATCACTCTATAAGGGCCAGTTCCATGGCCATGACAGGAGACCAGTTTGGAGTTCTTTGTTACTGGTTTCAACCTAGTTCACCTTGTAACACTTTCAATCTTGTTACACCACTGGTGCTAACAACCACTGTGGGAGTGGAAGCGCTGAATGAGAGATTTGCTCTCTCCTGTCACTGCTTTCCAACTAAGTCAGTCGTAAAAACAAAACATATATATTATTTTAAAGTAATACTAGTGTTGCTTATTAAGACAACTTTAATAAGGAAAGGATAATTAACCACTCCAGTCTCAATCAAAATTTGCATCATTTTCATAATGAATGAGCTTGAGAAAGCATAACTTTCATCAGTCTAATTGAATCAAACAAGACAAACATAAGTAACATATAGTTCAACCTAATGTATGTCTAGTTCATAGTTAATTTTGAATCAAATTTCTATACAGCAGATAAATTCTACTTTAAAAATGTAATAGAGGTAGATGTTTACTTATTTATAATAGAGTACTCACGTTTGTACAACTATAGAAAATGTTACTGCTTCTGTAACTTACTGTGGCTAAGTGGCACTAAATTGAATAGTTAGCCTCACAGGGGTAAAAAAAAACAAAAAATCAGTAAAGCCAAGTTAACCCAGAAAATTTTTTACCCTGGAAAACTAAAAACTAAAAATGGGTCACTTAAGTTGCCTCACTTACTTGTATCTTGAAGGCAACGCTAATTTAATTTGTGGTGAAATGTCTTTTTTTTTTCAAATTTCATAAATTCTGCGATTTGTCAGTGTATGTTTGCTTCAACTTTAATGTAAAACTTAAACAACTTCAATATACAACTCTACCAACTGCCATACTTCTAAGTTCATGCAGTCTTCATTACCTGATTCAACAGCTTGTGATTTTTCCCCGTTATGTTGATCAAGAGTAATCAAACATCCTGATGCTCTCCTTACATCCCATAATTTTACTCTGCTGTCAGCACTGAGAAGAAATAAACACCACACAGGACAGTCATCCACCTTGCAGCTTTGACACAACTGATAAGCGTAAACACACTTATGCATTTGGCTTGCACCTTTGCCTTTTCAGCAAATATTCAATAGATGACAACAACAAAAAAGGTGAGAAATCATCAAAAGGTAACTTGCTTTTTTGCAGATCATGAGGACAAAATTCTGCTTTTCATGTCACTGTTTTCAAAGACACGAGCATTCTGTGCCTCAACGGCAACACGGATGTGAAGCTTGCTGAAAGTCTGATACTCTACGCTTTTTGCTTGCTACCCAAGTGTTGTCTAGAAAAATCAGCAGCTAATTTTACTTTGCTTAAAATCAATGTGGTGTAGATTTGGTGCTTTTTATGTCTATTTTAAAAATGAGAATGAAGTGAATTATGAGGGCAAAGTATTTTTGTTTGGTTTCCTGTGCTCAAATTAATCTTTGCCACACGAGGACTTAATGTTGTCTAGCAGTTAGATGCACATTTTCATTGTCTTTCAACTAAAAGAAGAAAGGCAAAGCCATAATCATATGTCAATTTCAGACCTTATTCCTAAGGAAACACGCTCCCAATTACAAAGATGCGATCATGTGCTCACACAGATCTTAACAATACTCTAACTCCACTGGCTTATCCACGTCATTTTAATGAATTACCATACGTTTCATTTATGTTTTCAAGTTTTTATTATTTATTAATAGTAAATTCTCTAACACACAAATAAAATCCCTCAAAACTTTATAATTCTTTTAGAATTAAATGCTGATGATTCATTTTTCTTTACTATATACCTAACAAAAATGTACTTTTACTAAAAGCATCTTACAGCAGGCGTAACCACTAACTTCCTAACCATACCCCTCATGCCAGGGTTGTCAGCTCTGAAGCCTTGGCTATTCTGTGTGTAGTGTGTCAGCACAATGCTTGGCATACCTGAGTTCAACTAACACCTCCCTTTCTGTTTTTAAAGTAACACTCTTGATACCTAGAAATCTCTGAAACAAAGGGCTTATTGAGATGTTGCAGATCCAAAGCAGCAAAGGACCAGTTCTTGCAACCACTTCCTGCAACTTTTAGAAGCAAGGTGAGGTAGCAGTTGGCAATGTGTCCACACAACTAAGAGCCAAGAGCATCCTTACAGTGACAATCTGGGGAGCGAAAGCCTGAACTGTTTATCCTAGACCCATGTTAGCGGCAGATAAGAGGGATAAAATAAAAGCAGGGAAGTTTTGGGCCAGGAGGATTAAAAAGTCCTTGTTCCCTTTGGCTTGGTTTAATTTGCAAGCATGACGGTACAAAGATTCTCATGTTTTCTCTTTATTCTAGAAGGTAAGCATCATTAATACGGACAGTTAGGGTTAGAATTACGATGCACTGGCGAGTAGTCAAAATACACTGTGGTGTCCCGAATAAAAAGATGGACTCCCAACGACATCGTTAGGATATTGATTATTGTTTATGCTTTTGATGCCAAGATCCACTTAAATGCCAGAGGGATGAACTTTTGACTGCTGTTGAGGTACTACATTACTGTAACACCATACGGGAAAACCCTGGAGGGCAGGGGGAATGGGAAGGGTCCAAGGCCAAATCCCTGAGCCTATGGAGCTGCATCATGAAAAAAAAAAAAAAAGAATCACAATGCAAAGGAAGATTTCTATTTCTCTGCTTTAACTTTTTAATTTTTTTTGTTTCCATGGTGCTAAGTAAATGTATCAAAATATTGTATCTTGTATACATGTAGCTTTAAAGTATTTATTATTAACTTCAAAATCATACAAACTGCAATTTACCTTGCTGTTGCTAAGATATAGTCATAACGTGGTGACCAGGAAACTGCCAGTATTTCCTGTCTGTGACCTGCAAATATAACTACATGAAAAGTCTTGCAAAATATTTGAAAAATCATATGGCAAAATGCTATTAATTTTGCCTAATTCCAATACAAATTAGACTAAATAGTAAGTATTTATATGTAAAGTCTATAAGGGAATTTTTAAAATACTGTCATTTATTATAAAAGGGCTGGTTTTGGTTGGGAATAATCATACCTAATGGTTCTTCTTAAATATGATTTTTAGCCAACGTTAACCAATCCATTAAATTCAATTACTTAGCTCCATAACAAAGTCATAGCAGTAAAACATTTTAAGGAATAAAAGTTTCATATTTTTATAATAAAAATTCATGATAATGTAATAAAAAAGTTATCCATCTCATCACACTCACTTGATATATTTAGTAATATGTGTTTCTTAGAGATGAACAACAATGTAACTGAGTTGACTTCAAAACTTTCATGGAAATGGGGAATTAAAAGCAATGCATATTTTCCATGAAGATTTTGAAGATTCTTGTTTTTTTTTTTTGTTTTCTGAATAGTGCTCCATCTTTTTATTGTTTAGAATTAGATAATCTAATATTGATAAAACATAGTAAAAATAATTTAAATTAAATACCCTTACCAAAGTATTATTTCAATATTTTCCTAGAATTCACCTAAATATTAGTAATAAGGCTAACTCATTAGCCAGAACAAAAGTAATGATATTTAAAAATTATAATGATGTAAGTGTACATCTTTTAAAATGTAGATATCACATAGTTTTGAGTTACATCTATGTCCATATCCTTTGAGTTTTCCCTACAGCTACTGGTTCATATACTAATTTCTCTTCAATGGTTTAATTTTATGAGAATAATGCATAGAACGCCCTTGATTTCTCTGCTGACTCTAGCAAATAGCACAAACACATTAGTCATGTCACTTACAAAGAAGATATTGTTAAAAATGCTTCTTTTATTGAACAGTTTACTCAAAGTAGCAGTTGTTTTCAAATTAAAAAGAAAAATACCCTGTAGAATGTGAGAACAGGATCCCGACTTTAAGTCACAAAGCTGTACTTTTGGTCCTCTTGTACCAACTGCAAAAACAAAAGCAAAAACCTCTTAAGAAAAGTTTATCATAAACTATCCACAAAAGGGAACAACATTACCATCAGGAATCAGGACATTGTCATTGTACCCATGAAGCAATGCAAAAATTTATGAATACTGACTTAAAATCATTTTATGTTTATTAGAAATCCTATAGTTAGGTAGTAAGAGAACTTGGTTCTGTTTTGAAATACAATTAGTCTCGAGAGGACTGTAATACTTTGGTTTCCCTGATGAGGAATCAGAAAGTTACTGAATACATGAAATTAGAAGATACGTTTATTTTGGTGCAAAACCTTTTGAAATCCATGCAGTATTTTTTTTTTTTCAAAACTACATATTTTCTATGAACTTTCTGAAATCCCTTTGTATGTGAGATACCAAAATATAATATTAAAATCAGGACTTTTTTATTACTTTGCATGATAGTTTTGTAGATATGGGGATTCAGCCCTGCACTTCCCCTTCCGCCCTCCCGTTTGCCCATATTATTACAAGAGTGTAGTCCCTTCAGCAGCAGTCACAAGTCCAACATTTTGCTATTTAAGTGTATCATGGCATTGCAGGCAATGCTGGAAAGCCTAGTATTACATTATTAAGGCATATTTAACAGTTTCTTGGGAGTCCTCCTTTGATTCGGGAGTAGAGAGGCATACTGCAACCTATTTTCACTTCCCAATATGCTAGTCTCCATTATAGAGCTCATCTATGAGAATGTATGTATATACACATATAAAAGTAAATGTACATACATAATTCAACACCACGTAGGTTTATTTCAATAGCTTAGTTTTACCAAGTCAAAGATATACTTTGAACCAGTAGTGGTAGGTCCACAGCACTTCTGGACACAGATGGAAAGACCTCAAAGAAACTGTTCTTCATAGACGAAGCAGGTGACTGATATCGCGGGGAGAGGGCATTCTCACAGTACCACAAAAGGATGAAATCACAAGGTACGGGTGACAGAAAAGACATTTACGCTTCCTTACATATGAACATTAAGTACATACACATGTATTTATTTTAAAGTCAGAGACACAGGATGAGAGAGCGTCTATCCAATGGTTCACTTCTCAGATGTCCACAGGGCTGAAGCAGCAGATGAGAATGCACGCTAGATCTCCTCGCTGCGTTGCAGGAACCCAGTTACTTAAGCCAGCACTGCTGCTCACAGGGTCTGTACCAGCAAGGAGGGCTCAGGGCCAGGAGGTGGACACTGATGGGAGATGTCGCTGTCCTAAAGGACATTTTCCCAGCAGGCCAAACACTTGCTCTGTTTGTGAAGCTTCTGTGCTTTCGTATGAAATGGATATTTAATTTGAATCAATATCCTAGAAGGAAAATAACTTCCTCATTTTAGAGTGATCAAACTGGAAAGACTGCCTATGTTATTCATGCAAAACCTTTGAAACTTTGTTGATTTAAAAGTAATTCTTTAGGGGACGGAAGCATGTTTTAATCATTGATTTCTAGCCACTAACATAGTGTCTGCTTTGTACAGTATCCGCTGAATTGAGTGTAAACTGTAGCATGCACTCCTTTTTAAAAAATAAGAATTGTGAATTTCATTTCAGTTAAAACTTATATATTAAATGTAAGTAGATACAAAAGGGAGAAATTGTGAAAATAAAAAGAAGGGACTGGCGTTGTGGTGTGGTGAGTAAAGTTGTTGTGGGCACCAGTTTGCGTACTGGCTGTGCCACTTCCAACCCAGCTCCCTGCTAACGCATGTGGGGAAGCAGCAAAAGACTGCTCTGTGTTTGGACCCCTGTACCCAAGTGGGACACCCGGAAGAGGCTCCTGGTTCCTGGCACTGGCCAGTTCCAACAGTTGCAGTCATCTGGAGAGTGAACCAGAAGGTGGAAGCTCTCTGTCTCTCTCTCTTTTTAAAGATTTATTTATTTTTATTGGAAAGTCAGATACACACAGAGGAAAACCTTTCATCCGTTGATTCATTCCCTCAGTGGCCACAGTGGCCGAAGCTAGGAGCCAGGAGCTTCTTGTGGGTCTTCCATGTGGGTGCAAGGTCCCAAGGCTTTGGGCCATCTTCCACTGCTTTCCCAGGCCACAAGCAAGGAGCTGGAGGGGAAGTGGGGCTGCCGGGATTAGAACCGGTGCCCATATGGGATCCCAAAGCGTTCAAGGTGAGGACTTTAGCCACTAGGCTACTGCACTGGGCCCAGGTGGAAGATCTCTTTTTCTTTCCCTATCTTTCCTTCTCTCATTATAACTCAAACAAATAGATCATTTAAAAAAAAAAAAGCAAAAGGAAGACAAGTACAAACCTGCTACCAAGCAGTGCCTGGTGGCGACTGGAGACATGTGATGGCTATAAACTGTTTCCTCAAAATTAAATACATCTGCAGGCTGGTAATCAAAAGACATTTAATACGTGTAAGTTACAAATATAAAAACAAGGCAATACAGTTTCTATTTTTTCCATACTTTCAGCTGTCTTAAAACTCCACTAATTCAAATATAAGGATATAATCTCCCAAAACTAATTATTATTTTTTTTATTAAAAATTTTATTTATTTGAAGAGCAGAGTTTTAGAGCGAGTAAGACATGAAAAGTGTCCTATGTGTTAGTTCACTTCCTTAATGGCTGCCAGGGCTGGGGCTGGGCCAGGCTGAGCCAAAAGCCGAAGATTCCATCTAGATTTTCCACACGAGTTGCAGGGGCCCAAGGACTTGGGCTGTCCTTTGGTGCCTTCACATTTACATGAGCAGAGACTTGGAGTGGAGCAGCCAGGACGTGGACCAGCACTTACACGATGGCTTATATATCATATGTCACATGATGGCTTAACTTGCAGTGCCACAATGTCAGCCCCTAAAGTCGGTCATTTTAACACATGGTAGCAGTTTATGAGCACAGCCACTTGCCATCTGTCCTCTCCCCTCATGATTCTGAACTCATTGGAATAAACCGTGCAAACCTTACCAGTTCCCTGTCCATTTCTTTCTCTCTCCAGTTTAGATTCCAACACCCAACACTTGCTAACGGCCAATGCTCCTTTTTCCCCGATCCTGTTACTGGCCATGACCTTGACTTGGGCTGACTTGACATCCAGTGGTATCTGCACAGAGGCCAGAAACTTCTTCCACAAAGGGACAGAGGTACTGAGGACCAACCCCTCATCTCTGCTACTGCAGCGGCAAAGCAATATGTTTGTGTTCCGAAACCTTTATTTACAAAAACAAGCATGAGCCAGTCTTGTCCAGAGTCTAGACATGGCTAATCCCAATCCAGGTGAAAAAGAATATCTTGTCACAGGCAGAGCAGTTTTACTAGAAGAGCACACACACTTCCAGTGGGCTTTCAGTAGTGACGGCCGGTCCAGCCGGACTTGACCAGTATCCTGTGCGCTCTCCTGCCGCTATTTCAGGGCTTCTCCACTCTACAAGCTTTCCACTGAATGCCACCAAGTGCTCACACCTTCCATTTCAATGAGAATGCAGGCGGTTTTCAGTCAAGAATTCCCTTGATATCTTACCAACAACCCACAAAAATACTTCCTCCTCTTTCCTGTTGCTTCACCACTCTTAGCCCGGGGGAAAGATGGCGCCCCATCTAGAAATTTCTAGAAAGTGTGTTCAGTTCTCTTTAGCACGGTCAGAAATCTCACTTGCTGGATTGTCTCTCAGTTATCTACAACCTTCTCCCTACTGGCTCATTCCCGATAGCACCAACAGTTCACTTTCAGTCTTAAAGCACCTCCCTCCTGAGAGCAAAACAAAAACCCCTTGACCCCATTTCCCCTCTTTAAATAAAAATCTTATTTGTAATTCTTTATCTCCCATATATTTCTCAACTTGCTACTATCTTATTTTTATTTCCACTACTGTGATTTACACTATTCTTCCAGTATCACTAATAACTTCTTTATCTTATCTTACCCATCAATAGCATTCACACAGCTGACTACACTATCTTTCTTAAAAACAGAACAAAGATCCTCTTCAGTAACTTCTATTATATTCCACACACCTGATTCTCCTGATTCACTGGCTACCCTTCTTCTGCAGATTCTGTTTTCCTCCTTGCGTCCTAAGTTAACCTTTCTCAAGGCTTTGGGCTAAGCGTGCTGCTCTTTACTGCCACCTGTAGGTGCAAATCTGTATTTCCAGTGTAGATATTCTGATTTCTAGCTAGGTGTATCTCAACTTTCGGATTATCTGCATTAGGATTTCTTATAAATCGGTCAAATTTAACAAATCTAAAATTGAATTCACCATCTTACCACCTTTCCCATCTCACAAAAAAGCAATATATTTTATAAAAAATAATTCCCAAGGCAGAGAACTGAATTACTGATATTTACAAAATAACAGCCTTACTGAAATACAATCCATATATGATTCAGTGCACTAGTTTGAGTTGGGGGCTTTATTTTTAGGATACTTGGAGCAGTGCAAATATCACCAGAATACATTTCAGAACACATTCATCATCCAAACAGCAACCCGACAGCTGTGAGCAGTTGCCCCGACTTGCCTACTGCTGGGATTTATGTGGATGGAATGACGCATTAGATGGTCTGCTCAAGTTTTTTATTTAACCTGTTTCCTCTTGCATTATTTTAAAAATTTAGCCTATTTTCGAGGCTTTTCCAAGGTATAGCAAATATCTGCACTTGATTTCCTTTGATTGTTGAATAACATTCCTTCGTATGGATCTAAACATTTCCTTGTACATATTCCGCAGTCGGTAGGTTCCACACGCATCATTTCAGTTGTTCCCACTTTTTGGCTAGTGGGAAGGATGCTGCTACAAACACGTGCGCTTTCGTTTCTGCTCGGTATATACCAAGGAGTGGTATATACCACTGTTCGTAAGATAACTGCATTTCACACTATGCAGAACTGGTTTGAAAAGCAATGGCCCCCTCCAAGCAATGCAGGAGGGCTCCAACCAGTGCACACACTATCACCTTTTTATTGCAAACAACCTAAGGAATTAAAACGGTCTCAAACCTTGTGACACAACCACGAAGAAGGGAAAAGCTGTGCTGAGAAAGGGGCTAGAGGTAATGTGTATGATACAATCAAGATGTGATCAGCAAGCACAAGCAGATCAAGTTAGCTGCAGTGAATTATTTTGAAAACAAGTGATGGAATCAAATGAAATTAGGGAGAACTTAACGCTAGGTTGAATTTGCAGAATGGGAATTTAGCCTTTGTGTAGGGATGTGACAAAAAGATGAATTTGGGGATGGAACTGTGGAAAACACAGGAAGAAGTATAAGGCAGGGAAACCACGTAGGAGCCTTTGGTAGTTTTAATGTGTAGTGACAATGAGTGAAACAAGAAGCAAAAGCAGGAGAGTCTAAAGGAAAATCTGCTGCAATTTTATGAGAATATGAATATGAGAAACAATGATGTTTAGCATACAAATTTTCAACGAATGACACTACATTTCTGTTGAGCGATCTTGTAGATAGGTACAAAATCAGGGGAATAGAAAGCACAGAAATTAAAATCTGACCAATTGCCACAAAAACCATTGCACACGGTCAACCTTTTACTGGGCTATCATATTAGTCATTTTCTTTCTTGAATTATCTAACTGTTGTTTTCAGGTCATAAAGACAACAATATAGAGGGCAGTGGTATGTCATAGTGGGTTAAGAGATCCAGGATTTCAAGTTAGAGCACTAGTTTGAGCTCCAGTTGCTCAGTTTCTCATCTGGCTACTTGCTAATGTGCCTGGGAAGGCAGGTGCAGGTGACGCTTTAGCTCCCTGGATGCAATACTGGGTTCTTGGTTTCAGCTTGGCCTGGCCATGGAAGTTGTGGCCAATTGCGGGAATGAATCAACGGAAGGAAGGTCTTTTTCTCATCATCTGTCACTCTTTCAAACAAATCTTAAAAACCAAAAGAACACTAAGCGATTTCTGAGTACTTACAGATATGCTCTATTTTAGGTACTTGTTGGTTCACTTAATCCCCATAATCATTCCTTAAGGCACACTTACGGCCTCCACTTAAAGAAAAGGTTTGGATGTTGGCTCATTGAGAAACAGCTGGTCAGTTACAGAGCTGACCTATGCCATCCGGCTCTCCTTGAGCACCACACTGCTTTCACATCTAAGGTAGACTACTTAGCAAGCAATCTCGCGAACACACTTAAAGTTTAAACTCTCCTTCATCCCACAGAGCAATTTCAAAAGGTTTCATGAACTTACTTGTAGTGTATTTGTATCCCACACTTTGAGAGTTTTGTCAAATGAACTTGATGTGAACATGCCCGTGTCATGAGGGTACCACTGTACAGTCTCCACACTGTATTTGTGAACGTCGGGATGGCTTCTAGAAAACAACGGTCAACAAGCAGAGGTGACTGCCTGAGTTTCCAAACGAGCGCTGCATCAAGAACAAACGGCAGTCTCGGGCAGGATACGAATGGCTACTCAATCACGAGCTTGTGTCCCAGCTGTCCAGGCATCTCAGGGTTCCACAGTGCGACCGGAAGGCCTGCCTCTTGCTAAGGAGACTTCCTAGTTCTGACAGTCTAGAGGGATCAGCAAGTTAGGCTGGAATTCTAGCTTGGAGTTGGTGATTTGTCTTAATTGTAAGAGATACCAATTTTGGTTTTGGATTTTTTTTCTCATGTGTCATTGTATTAGCATTACCATGCTTAGCTTTTTAGTGCTTCATGGTTTCATGGAATGCTATATTATACAGATTCTCATCAATGAACTCTATGACAAGAGTTCAAGTGGGGCCTGGTGTGGTAGCCTAGTGGCCAAAGTCCTTGCCTTGCACGCGCTGGGATCCTATGGCCACCGGTTCTAATCCTGGTGGTTTCACTTCCCATCCAGTTCCCCGTTTGTATCCTGGAAAAGCAGTCAAGGATGGCCCAAAGCCTTGTGACGCTGCACCCATGTGGGAGACCCCAAAGAAGCTCCTGGCTTAAGATCTGCACAGCTCCAGCTGTTGCGGCCCCACGTGGGGAGTGAATCAGCGGTTGAAAGATCTTCCTCTCTATATATCCAACTTTCCAATAAAATTTTAAAACTCTTAAAAAAAAAAAAAGAGTTCAGGTGATGGATGCCCATGGGATTCCCTACTGTTTCGAATCCCACTACTCCAAAGACATCAGGACATCACATCCCCGGTGGAGGAGAATGCTCTGTCCTGAGAGCTGCAGTATGTGCTCTGAACTGGTGATCAGCACTGAATCTTGGTAAACTTCTCCCCACACCAGCTGGTAAAGACACGAGACGTGGAGGGGAACTTGAATTCTGAGAGGACATTTACTATCAGGAATTACTGCCCGTGTAAGGTGATGGTAATGGCAGTGTGGCTATGCTTTTACATTTTTTTTTCTTTTTAAGATTTATTTATTTTTATTGAAAAGCCAGACATACAGAGAGGAGGAGAGGTAGGGAGGAAGGAAGATCTTCCATCCAATGATTCACTCCCCAGGTGGCTACAATGGCTGGTGTTGAGTGGATCTGAAGCCAGGAGCCAGGAACCTCTTCCAGGTCTCCCACATAGGGTCCCAAGGCTTTGGGCCGATCTCGACTGCTTTCCCAGCCCACAAGTAGGGAGCTGGATGGGAAGACGGGTTTCCAGGACAGGCTATGCTTTTAAAGTCTTTTAAAAACATACACACCAATAATTATGGTTGAAAAATGTTATCTAGGATTTGTTTCAAAATAACTCTAGGGGTGGTCATGCTGAGGGTAAAGGTGAAGCAGGAATATTTACATTAGTTGCTGAAGCTGGGTAATGGGTAAACAGTTCACTACAGTATTCGTGCTTTTGTACAATTAGGTATTTCTTACAATGAAACACATGGGAGATTCCTGCAACTTCATACAGACATGCCAAAACTGGGTCTGATTTTAAAGAGTGAAGGTTGACTCCAGATTGCATCCCAGATAAAAGACTACCCTTTAAATGTACAGTGTGCCTTAAAGAAATGAGAACATGACAAAAAGCCCAAAGATTAAAGATTTACTTATTTTCATCGGAAAGGCAGCTCAGATTTACAAAGAGACAGAATGATCTTCCATCTGTTGGTTCACTCCCCATATGCCTGCACAGAGCTGAGCTGAGCTGATCTGAAGCCAGGAGCCTGGAGCTTCTTTCAAGTCCCTCACATGGGTGCAGGGTGCCAAGGCTTTAGGTCATTCTCTATTCTTTCCCAGGCCAAAAGAAGAAAGCCAGATGGGAAGTGGAGCGTTGGCACCCATATGGGGTCCTGGTGCTAGGAAGAGCCAACGCACTGGGCCCATGGAAACATTTTTTTAAAGATTCCCTTTTTTATTCGAAGGGCAAAGTGAGAGAGAAAGATAGACAGAGATCTTTCAGTCACTGGTTTATTTCCCAAATACCAGGAGCCTGAAAATGTATCCAGGTCTCCCACATATGTGGTAAGGTTACAAGGTCTTGGTCCATAACCTAGTGTTTCCCCAGGTGCTTTAGTAGAAAGCTAGACTGGAACTGGAACAGCTGATTTTTGAACTAGCATTTTGATATGGTGTAGCAATGTTCCAAGAGATGGCTTAGTTCACTGTACCACAGGGAATAAGACCAGAAGGAAAAGTCTTCAGTGCCTGTGCTGACCTCGAGACAGCTGTAACAATACAAAGACTGTAGTGCCTACTCATGTTTCCATTCTTTCCCCATCATATAGATATTTAAACTATCTTCCCTACCTAAATCCATCCTTTTATTTCTAGTAACAATACTGTGGAGCCCTGGGGTTGCACTGATGCAGGGTCAAGTAAGAACAATGGGAGGTGTACATGACCTTGACCTGGGGATGAATGTGGGAACTAACAGACTCCTGATCCTTCTCTCTGTAGGATGCAACGGTTACCCAGCTGACTGTATAATGGATACTTGTGTTAGATTAGGTTGTAATTTAGGGCAAGTTTATATCGACCTGGGTTTTCTCAAAAGTGCTTGAGACTCTAGACCTCAGGAAGGTATTCATTAGGTGTCTCTGCGGAGCTGAATCTGTGCTGGTGACATGCAGAAGAACTCAAACCAAAATCCTGTCATGTCAGCTGCTTTCTCTTATTTCGGCTTCTCTTACTTTTTACTCATTTTCTAAATTTGCCTGAGCCATTCAAGACTCCTGCTTCAATGTTTTGCATCGGATGCAAAAGGTACTCGATTATTTAAAATTCAAGAATTAACTGTTAATACATACCTGCCGATGGAACACACTGCTTTGCACGTGTAGTATGGCTGCCTGCTGGAGTTCTCAAGGTCATAAAGTACAATCACTCCATCGGAACCTCCTGATAACATGCTGATAACAAAAAAATCCACATATCATTAGTCTGGTTAGTGATTTTATACTTCTGAAAGCCGATCTGTAAACACCAAAAGTCTTCGCAGTTAATCCTCATGAACACATGTCAATCAACCAAATTTTGTTAATATTTGTGCAAAAGTGAACATAGAAAAAGTAATCTGTGATCTTTTAAAGTTTAGCTTTATGATTCTTAAAAGCTTTGTAACAAGATGGCAAAAGATATGTTAAGAAATAAAATACCACAAAATTATCTGAAATGTCCTAATTATGACCGTGCTAATGAAAACAGAACCAGTTTAACATGAGACTTTCCACAATGGTAAAATGGGGGATACTGGGCATGTCTGGGTCAGGCTGACCCACCTAAGTAGGAAACCCAGGCTGGGCTAAGTGGCATCATCTGCCGCCCACCAGTGCATGCCAGGGCTGGGCTGAAGGGCATACTTGGCTGAAATCAATTTTATTTCATTATTAATACAACATTCTGGAGATGGCACAAGAGATCAAATTGCGTTTGCCTACAAGTGCTGGCATTCCCTGTTGGTGCCAGTTTGTGTCCTGGTTGCTTTGCATCCAATCCAGGTCCCTGTTGTGGCCTGGGAAAGCAGGGGAGAATGGCTCAAAGCTTTGGGACCCTGCATCTACAGGGCAGACCCAGAAGAGGCTCCTGGCTTCGGATCAGTTTAGCTCTGGCTGTTGCAGCCACTTGGGGAGTGAACCAGCAGATAGAAGATGTTTCTTTATTTTCTCTGTATATCTGCCTTTCCAATAAAAATAAATCATTCAAAATAAAAATCTGAATTTTCATATTTACTTATTTCATTACTTCTGTAAGTTTATTCAACTAAAGACAGAAACACCATCAACAGACTTTCCTCTAATGTTAAAACAATGGGATCTCTTTCAATAACAACTCCTTCGCCATCTTGGGATAGTAAGTCAGCATCATGCATTCCAGAGTAGTCAATGCTTTTTCTTTTTTATTATTCATAATTTATCACCCAAGATGTAACAATGAATACTAGCTTTGCTCTGTAAAACTTTTCTTACTTTTCATCTATATCTTCTGCTCTCCTTTGCTCCCCTTCCTGTCCTATTGTATTTAAAAATGTTTGCCTACACCATGCTCAGTGGCTAAACCCTCGCCTTGCACATGCCAGGATTACATGTGGGTGCCGGTTCTAATCCTGGCAGCCCCACTTCCCATCCAGCTCCCTGCTTGAGGCCTGGGAAAGCAGTAGAGGATGGCCCAAAGCCTTAGGACCCTGCACCCATGTGGGAGACCTGGAAGAAGCTCTGGGCTCCTAGCTCTGGATCAGCTCAGCTCTGGCTGTTGCAGCTATTTAGCAGGTGAACCTGCAGACAAAAGATCTTTCTCTCTGTCTCGCCTCCTCTCTGTATATCTGACCTTCCAAAAAAAAAAAAAAGAATTGTGGCGTCATGACAAGTTGTGAGTAGGCAATGACTCTCTCTGATGGCCATTTTTAAAGCACTTCAGCTACTCTTACACAGAATGTGTGGAAAGGTGTAAGTGATATTGCTTTTGATTATACATACTACCTCAAATTAATCCTCATGATAAACTTACTCAGAAGAGGTGACTGCTCTCAGTGTAAAACTGCCACAACCGAGTACAGCTCAAGGTCACAAAGGTGGTAAGTGCTAAGCTGGGGGGGGGAGTGGATTAAATAAAAATCTGGTTTGCATTAAACTTCATTCTACAAAACATGCTTTTGTTTTTATATTTGCTAACCCAAATATGGGAGTAGAGACTGTGTTTTAAAATAGCACCTGAAGCACATAAAAGTCCTCTCCATTCAAAAGAACTTTAATGTTTACTAGTTTAACCATGTATATATTCACACCAGCATAGCTTGGAAATGCATATCTCGCAGCACTGTGAAAGTTGCATGTTCTACGCTTATTTGAAATTAATAATATCAGTTAAAATTTTTTTGAGATATTGAATTTCTACTATTTTTTGTGTTTTTACAAATTTTTATGAAGTTTCTATAATAATATGAAAAAGCAAAGTCTTAAAGCATCTCACTTAGGAAGAAAAATGACTATAGTGATACAATAAACTTACTATCGCCCTTCAACAGGTTCAATGTCGAGCGTGTTAACTCCACTGCCATGGATTCTTTCAACATCTCTGTCTTTGTTTAACTCAAGGCCCAAAACTCTTTAAAAATTAAAAGAGGAGAAAAGGTGAAATTTAACAAGTAATTTAATATAAAAAATGCTGATTTCATTAAGATTATATAAAGTACAAAACCTAATAAAAGCTTACATTTTCTACTATATATTCAAAGGTATTCAGATTTCAAAAGACTATACAGTTAAAAAAATATCAACAGTTACATGTAGATTACTTTCAGCATTATCCTAAACCTTATGTAACTGAGGACACCTAGTGGACAAAAGCTTAAATTACAGGACTTTTTCTTAATTCCTTCCAGTGTTTCTACAAGACAAATACAAAATTCAAGAATAAAGCATGCTGGATATGGAGAGAGCGATATGGTGGTTACAGGGTGAGGACAGGTTTTTACTGTCAAACTGATGGAGAATAACTAGCCAGGATGAAGCAGAGAGGACAGATTCCAGGAAATCGTAGAGGAGAAGCAGACAGCAGAGGGGCACCAGGAAGCGGCAGAGACAACGCAGCCATGTTGCAGCAACCAAGTGGTGGGCAGCTGTCGATGACCAGTGATGAGAGCTCTAATGGAGGCAAGGTGGGAAGGGAAGCTCACCAGGAGATCAGGAGATGAACTGAGGCAAAGAACTGCCCATCCTGCTCGTTTGTTTGATCTCACCATGAGTAGAGACAAAGCCGACCCAGAGTAGTGGAGTGGTGCAGAAACAGGGTGGCTTTCATGGCCCTCACCTCCATCAGTGCCATATTGGTCACCATTTTGTATACAGTGGCAAAGGCTGTAGCACCGGAGGGACAGCAGTAAGCTATACAAGCGCTAAACCGGGAGCAATCTTATTTCCAGCTCAGCACAAAGCACTGGTCCCACAGGAAAAACAGCACCGACATGGCACCCTATAGATTCTAACCACAACAGCTCCTAAAGGCCACCACCAGTGCCATGTCTGTCAGCCACCGTTTTGTGTACTGTGGCAAAGGTTGTAAGACTTGGGTGGTGGGAGGATACAGCAGTAAGCTGTGCATGCACTAAGCCAGGAGTAAACTGAACTCCTGCTCAGAGCATTGTACTGGTCCCACAAAAACAGTACTGACCTTGCCTCCAACCAAAACAGATCCGGGTGGCCACCAGACCTAACAGCCAGCAGGTTCTAGCAAAACCAGCACCCAGTGATTCAGGACAGCTGGCATCTCCCTAATTCTGGGCATTGCTTGAGAAGGGAGCAAGAGAAAGGCTGAGTGGGATCACAGGGGGTGAACTGTGGTAAGCCAGGAGCTGGAGCCAAGGAGACTATTGTGGAAGCCTAACACAAGAGCCCAGGAATTGAACTTGCTGGAGGGAGTGGCACAAGTGATGGCAAACAAAGAAGTGGATACCAAACGCAATCACTAAAATCAACCTGTAGACCTATGGGCAATACAGCTTAGAAACCTGTCCTAAGGAAAAGAATCTGCTAACCAGAAGTACAATGACCAGGAGTAAAAGCCTTTGAAAACCTCAGTTAACTGAAGAATACACTGAGAAAAAAGGGGATAAAGAATTTTAAAAACTTGTTATAAAGCTTCATATCAACAATGAGAAGCAAATGCAGGAGTTCAAGGAATTTGAGAAATATGTTATGCAGGAAATAACAGCAATGAATGAAATGAAAGCTGATATGTTAGAAACTAAAAACAAAATGGAGCAAATTAAAAATTCAGTGGAAAACCTCAAAGATGAGTGAGTGAGGCAGAAGAAAGAATCTCAGAATTGGAAGCTATTTCTTGTCACAATGGGGAAACAATCAAAAAGCTGGAAGAGGAACTGAATCAAGCTAAAAAATATGTTCAAGAGTTATGGGAGTTCCAAAAGATACAGAAAGAGAAAGCTGGGGTTAATGATGTATTCAATGAAATAACAAATGGAAAATTCCTTAAATGAAGCAAGAATCAGGAAACAACATACAGGAGGGGTACTCCCAATAGGATTGACCAAAAGCAATCTTCACCATGACACATGATCATCAAGCTCTCTTCAATTGAACATAAGATCCTTAAATGTGCAAATGAAAAAAATCAATTGACGTATAGGGGAATGCCAATCAGACTCACAGCTAATATCTCTCAGGAACCTCTATAGGCCAGAAAGGAATGGAGAGTTACATTCCAAATTCTAAAAGCAAAAAATTGTCAGCCCAGAATAATGCACCCAGCAAAGCTTTCCTTTGACTTTGAAATAAAATTCTTCCAAAGTAAAGAAAAGCTCAAAGAATTCACCTCGTCCACATCTTTCCTATAAATCACGCTAAAAGATGTTCTCTTGACTTACTACCTGGCAAGAAGGTGAGCGCCCCACAACCGCAGGCTAATCTTTCGGGACGGTAATTCTCTGGGACAGTTTAAAAAGAGAAGAAAACAAAGAAAAATGCGGGGAAAAGTGTCCTCAGTATACAGAAGGCGATTGTCTTTGCAAGCCACAGAGAGAAGAGACCAAACAGAGCGGAAGCAAAGCAGTTGAGACTGGCAAGTTTGTGGCCAGGCTAAGAGTCACTGGGTCAGGATTCTAACGGACCCGTTAGACAAAAGGGCAAGATTTTCTTTACCTCCGTGTAGACTCCGCTCTCCGGAGGCGAACTGGGTCTTCTAAACCCAGTTGTCGCGCGGACAAAAAGCCGAGCATCCCGTCTCCTCACAAGCTTCGCAGGGCTGGCCACCGCCATGACAGCGCCCGGCGGCCGGCGCTGCAACAACAGAGCCTCCCATTGGCCAGGCGGTGGTGCGATGACCAATGGGGAGCGTCATTCCTGTCAGGGTGGCGGGAAGAGGGCGGGCCTCCTCGGACGCGGTGGGCGGAGTCGGCCGTGGGAGAGTGTGTGGCTGCTTGTGGGGCGCTAGTGGGGTCGGGGACGAGGCGGCTGCCCGGCAGGCATGGGCTGGTCCAGGGGTGTGTTCCGCGCCTTGTGGAGTGCGCTGTCAAAGGAAGTACGGGAGCACGTGGGCACAGACCAGTTCGGGAACAAATACTACTATGTCCCGCAGTACAAGAACTGGAGAGGTGAGCTGGGGACCAGGGAAGCGGTGGCGAAGTGAGGACCGGTGGGCGAAGGGGACGCGTCCGGGCAGCTCTGTCACTGAGCGGCGCTTAGGATGGCTCCGCCGCGCTGTCCTCCCTCCGGCGCCGGACCTCTGCCCGCCGTGGCTCAGTGCGCCTTTCCCTGGCCGTGTCTACGGCCCCTGCGCCCCGCGCCTTCCCGCGATGCGCCCGGGTTGGTCCTCCGCAACACGCACCGCTTGTAACACCCTCCCACCCCCCGGTCTGGGGCTCAGTTTTGTTCTTTCCGGGCCGGGAATAAGTCCTTCACGTTGGAGAGTGGCAGAGAAGGGTGTGCTTGAAGAAGTACCTCCTCCCGCCTGGGCTTGGGGCTTCCTAGGTGGGTCCCTTTCCTAGTGGCACCCAGGCGCAGGTGCTGGTCACCTTCCTCACCATCAAAGCTGTCAGAGGAGGGGAAGGGACAGCGATCCCTTCCTTGGAGGGTCTTTGTTCCAGGAGTTGGGCAATCCGAGAGCGCACGTGGAGTGTTCTTGGGGATGCTCCAGAGGCGGAGTGTGTGCCCAGAAGCAGAGCGCTTTCCCAGGGGAGTTCACTGGGAGGGCTTGGTGTTCCAAACCAAGTGTTGATCCATCAGTGGGGAGCGGAGGGTCTCAGGCTTCTGCCACGAAGAGCGTGGGCTACAGTTTCAGCTCGAACCCCTGGCATCCTTGCGGCAAAGTAGTCTTGACCCATGCTCAGGATCCTGACTTGGAAGCGAGAGGCAGCGGTCCTGGTAATATCGCCAAACACCGAGACTCCCCTTCCAAAGTTGAATCATGTCCTTCGCATTTGCTTATCATCTGTGATCAGAGAAGTAGCCAAAGCCTTTTCTAGTAACGATGTTTTCGATAGATTTCCCTAAAGTCATTTATTATTATTATTATTACTTATGTGAGAGGCAAAGACGCTGGTTTATTTCCCAGATACCTACAACCGCTGGCACAGATATCTGGGGTTCACCATCCAGGGCTCCCACATTGGTGGGAAGAATCCAGTGAGTGGAGCCGGCCTTGCTCCGTCCCTGGGTTTGCAGGTGGGATTCAGGCTGCAGCTTCCAGTGGAAGACCGACCCCTCACAGGATGCTGAAGCCTTAGCCTCTAGGCCGGTTTCTGCTCCTCAACTTTGTCTCTGTGTGCGGCGCCATAGTTTATTGCTTTTATTGTTGAGTGATATATCACGGTATGGGTACTTGTTTATCTATTCACCTGTTCATAGATACTTTTATTTCATTGTTATTTGTTTGGGAGGAAACAAGACAGAGCCCGGTATCAGTATGGAACTTACTTTTTTTTTTTAATTTTTTAAGTTTAAAGCTTTTTAAATAGTGGGGTAGAGTGGGAAAGTGACATCTTCCAGTTGCTGTTTCATGGCTCAGATGGCCACAGTAGCTTTGACTGGGCCAGGCAGACGCCAGGAGCCAGGTATTTCATCTGGGTCTCCCATAGGAGTGCAGGGATCCAAGCACTTGGACCATCTGCTGCTGCTTTCCCAGGTGCCTTGGCGGGGGCAGGGTTCAAAATAGAACAGCCAATACTCAATGCATCACCTGTTCACTGCCCCGCGGTGATGGACTTCGCGCACGGAACCAATAATACAGGTGGACTACTGAGTGATGGTCAATAGTTTATTAATACCATCAGACCCTTTGAAGGCAGTTGATCATCTAGGGGTCTTCCACATGGAGGCAGGGATTCAAGAACTTGGATCCTTCCCTGTTTCCCAGGCTAAATGCAAGGAGCTGGATCCGAGTGGGGCAGTGGGGATATGAACTGGAGCCCGTATGGGATGCTGGTGCCGCAGTGTAGGCTTGGATCACTGTGCCCTGGCACGGGCTTCCATTGTGTGTTTTTCTGGTTCCAGACTGCACTTCTTACATGTCTTTGGCAGCCTACCCTTATTTTTTCTTGAAATCAGTGCGCTTATCACGTGAATCCTTGGTCAGTGTACAGGCCGGTAGCTTCCCACAGGGCTCTGAGACATTACTCCGAGTTGTGTTCTCTGCTCAGGAGTCCTTCATGTACAGCCCTTCACAAGGGAGCCTTAAGAATGCGAGCAGCAGGCTGGGGCTACACTGACGGTGCTGCCCAATCGTTGGGTTGGCTTTTACCATCTGCCCCTAGTTCCAGCTTGAGATTTTCTCATGGCTTCTGTGTTTGAAAAACCCACATGGGTTCTCTTCACGTGCATTGCGTGTGTCTCTATGGCTGCCAGGCCAGTGGGTACTTTGGTTTGCTCTCATCTTTCCTGATACTGTTCGTTGTTTTCTCACGGAGGCACCGGCTCCAAGCAGAGCGTTCTGCACTCGGTGGCCTTAGTTTCTGACCTACCGAGGACTCTGTTACCTGCGTCCTTTCTTTTCTAAAATCATCTATTGATTGATATTCATATTTATTTATTTGAAAAGCAGAATGAGAGAAAGACCTACTCTATCTGCTGGTTGACTTCTCTTGCCACAGCGAGGGCTAGGCCAGATTGAAGCCAGGAGTCAGGAACCCCAGCCAGGTCCCCTCTGAGAAGACTGGTCGTTGAGCCAGCCTGTTAGCAGGGGTTTGGATCACAGTGGAGTAACCAGGACTCGATCTAGGAGATAGATAGGATGTGGCTGTGCCAGCGCTGTGACACCTACTCTGTCTTTTGTCTCACACAACTGTATCCCCCTTACACGTTCTTTAATACGTTCAATTGGATTGGGAGAGACAGAAGAGGAAAACAGGAATCATTGTACATTTCACTTTGCAACACAAATTAAAATGCATCTGGGCGATGTGCTTTGTTGTCAAGCTGCCAGTGTTTTTGATGTTTTGAGTCATGCTGAGGTTAGGTCCCTGAGCACTGTCTCAGGTGATGTGATGGCTTCCCACCTTCTCACATGGTTTGTCCCCCTCATTCAAAACAGATGCTTGTTGCATTTCATGCCCCTGTGCCTGGACGTGAAGGAGGGACAGAAAAAGCATCTGTCCGCAGAGTTGAAGTACTTACAATCTGAGAAAAAGGAAAATCAAAATTAAAATCTGAAAAAGGAAATGATAATGAAATTTTAGAAATTTGAACGTAATTGTCATACTTTTCATTTTATTTTTGATAAATGGATCAATTCTTCAGCGCTGAGTTGTTCTCATTACAAGTAGGAGTCGCTGGGGAAGGCTCTGCTAGGTGCTTGTGTCCCATGCTGGGGTACCTTGGTTAATTCCTGGCTCCAGCTGCTAATTCCAGTGCTGCTAAGAAGTTAGGTGCTGCCGGAGACCAGGATTGTGCTGAAGCTCCTAGTGTGTGCTTGTGTTTAGTGTTTAAATAGACTGAAGTCATAACAAATTGTTAAAAGTAACTGTAAGAACAAATCAAATGGTCAGAATTACAGGCTTTTCTTAGGTCACTAGGAGGTCAGAATACCTACTGGGAGATAATCGTTACATTTCCGTATTTTCCAGCAGATGGCAGCGTTGTTTAAAAAATGGTGCCTTGGGCCCGGCGCGGTGGCGCAAGTGGTTAAGTCCTCGCCTTGCACGCCCGGGATCCCATATGGGCGCCGGTTCTAATCCCGGCAGCCCCGCTTCCCTTCCAGCTCCCTGCCTGTGGCCTGGGAAAGCAGTCGAGGACGGCCCAAAGCTTTGGGACCCTGCACCCGCGTGGGAGACCCGGAAGAGGCTCCTGGCTTCGGATCGGCATAGTATCGGCCCGTTGCGCTCACTTGGGGAGTGAATCATCGGATGGAAGATCTTCCTCTCTGTCTCTCCTCTCTGTATATCCGCCTTTCCAATGAAAAAATAATAAAAATAAATCTTTAAAAAAAATAAAAAAAATAAAAAATGGTGCCTTGACTTGCTTTTCCTTTGAACTAATTTGAAGCAGTAATCTTTGCTACAGAAGGATTTGGATATAGTTTTCTCTGCCAGAAAAGCTCTGCACTGCTATTTTATAAGCTGCTGATTGTTCAGGGAAAGGGTTTAAAATATTTTAAAAATATATTTGTTTCTGTGTTATAGTTAGTTATTCAGGGAGCAGAATCAAACACAGATCGCTTGCCAGCCAGGTGGAGTAGGCCAAAACCTGGAGCCGAGCCTCTTCCAGGTCTCCTCTGAGTGACAGGGATCTGAGGACTTGGACCATCGTCTGCCGCCTCCCCCGGTGCATTAGCAGGAAGCTGGATTGGAAGCGGAGGAGCTAGAACCCACACCCTTGCTGTAACATGGCTGTCGTAAATGAGGGCTTAACTTGCTGTGCCAGAATGCAGAGCCACAACTAAAACTTTAGAGGGGCAGCCATGTAGTATGATGCAAATAGAAATTAAACTTTGAGGAACAGGGAAAGCTAAATACGTCCGATATAATAATAAGTTAATAGTAAATATACTCTCTCTGTGCTTGTTGGAGATTGTGTAATATAATCATTACCTTGATATTGCCAAATGGGTATCCTAAAATACTTCCTGATATCAGCTAAAACCTGTCTTTTAAAAATGCTTCATTTGGGGCCCAGTGTGGTAGCCTGAACAGCTAAAGTCCTCGCCTTGAGGACGCCAGGGTCCCATATGGACAGTAGTTCTAACCCTGCAATCCTGCTTCCCATCCAGCTCCCTGCTTGTGGCCTGGGAAAGCAGTCGAGGACGGCCCAAAGCCTTGGGATCCTACACCCGCGTGGGAGGCCCAGAAGAAGCTGCTGGTTCCTGGCTTTGGATCAGTTCAGCACCAGCCCTTGAGGTCACTTGGGGAGTGAATCATCGGATGGAATTCCAGTCTTCCTCTCTGTCTCTCCTCCTCTCTATATCTTTGAAATTAAAAAAAATCTTTTAAAAAATACAAAAGATTATTATTTGGAAGGTACAGCGATAGAGGCAGGGATCTCCACTCCCTGGTTCAGCTGCCACATGCCTGCGGCGGCTGGGACCAGGCTGGGCTGAGGCCAGGACCATCACCCAGTGTGGGTCTCCCTCAGAAAGGGCAGGGACTGAACTGTTGAGCTGTGC